AACTTCACCACTATCTGAGTCAGTTGCTTTGGCTCAGTTTATAGAATGACTTTGGAAATTGATTAGATTATTATCTGGCAGTTATCTATTTTGCTGGAATATGTGCATTCCGAGAGCACTGTGCACAGGCGTTAAAGTCGGCTTTGGCAATGCCTGCCATTTCCTTTTCCGTTTCCGCCCGCTCGTATGTCGCGTTCAGGCTAAGGCCTAGCTGCTTGCTTGCCAGCCAGCGACTTGGATAGACACAGCGAGAGCTTTGGCATGCCACACACACGCACACACACACACACACACACACACACACGCACACATACACCCGCAAGCTGAGTGTGGTGTTTACATTGTTGTTGCTATTGTTGTTGGCCATTTGCTAGTTGGCAGCTCGTTTTTGGCTTCGCTTGAATCCTGCCGCTTATTGTAGTTAAGTTTTATGCCGCTTTGCGTGTTGCACGTATTGCCTGCCCACCTATCTGCCCGCCCCTCTGCTGCCGCTGTCTGCTCTATCTGATAGTCGTTGTCTGCTCAGTCTCGCCTTGTTCTTCGACTTCTGCTTCTTCTTTTGCTCCATCGTTGTACTCTCAGCGTCTTTGCACCTAATTCCATTTTCACTTTCTTTGATGATGCTCAATTTTTTGCATCATTAATCTTAAGCGCTTTCCAGCATTGACGCTGACGCACACACACACACACGCGCGCAGACACACACGCGGGCATAGCTACATAACTAGCTCAATTTACATTCCTCTCTCTTCCTCGTTTTTTTGGCATGCATTATAAATATATGAATTTCTGACATGACATAAAAAATTGTTGTGTAAATTTTTTTTTTGGAATCTATTGAGCTTGAATGACTCTCAGCTATTCTGTTAGTTAATAACATCTCCATTTTAATAATCTTCATTCAAATAGCTTATTTGATTAACAAAATCGCAGAAAATACAATATTTTGTATGAAATATAGGTCTGATAAGTTAAATTGATTAAAAGACTTCGCATACTACTCACACACCTGCATACATATACATACAATACATTAAATATGTACATATGTATGTTAAGTAATATGCTAATGTTATTGATGTATGCTAAGTAACACACTACTGTTATTAATCTATGTTATGTAAAACATTTCTGATATATGTTAATGTAACATACTTCTGTTACACATTTATGCTATGTAACATTGTAATGTTAATATAACATTCTGATCTTATTAATCTATGTTATGTAAAACATTTCTGATATTAAAGTATATATGTTAATGTAACACACTTCTGTTACATATTTATGCTATGTAATATTGTAATGTTAATTGCTTATGCTATATATAAAACAAACATACTGATACTTTTTATATCTGTTATTTAACATACTTATGCTATGTAACATAATTATGTTAATTCAATGAACAGCTAAAGCGGAGCTAATAACGTTAAGCCATACAAAAGCTGTTAGCTGTTGAGTTGGCGATGTTAAGAACTATTAGCTGTTAACATGTTCTTTAGAGCTGTTATGCGGCTGACTACTATTTTCCATGAATAAATCTTTAAAAAGTTTTAAGTTAAAATTAAGGTCACATATAACAATAATTTATGGTAAAGCTTTGCGCTCTGTTAAGCTGTTGCTCGCTGTAAACCCAAGCTATGAATATACATACGTCTTTTATTTTTGTTCAACTCTATAAGCTGCTTAAAGGCTTGGCATTGGCATTAACAGCGTCATTTTAACATTTTGTGCTAATAGCTGCAACCGACCACACACACAAATATATATATATATATATATATATATATATGTGGTTGTATGGAACGATTTGTGTTCTATTGGTGACATTAACAATTTTCAGCTCGATTTGCCAGCTCTGTGTCGCTGGCTTCTCATAGTTTGTGCAACAAATACAAATTTTGTTTCAGCTAAGCTCAGCGGAAGTGAACAAAAACGAAGGGAAAAAGAGAGAAATGAAAACAAAATGAAATAAAACAGCCGGCGAATGAGAGAAGAAGCAATGGTATTTCGCTTGGATCGTAGCGCCAGCGTTTTGTAGATTTTAAGAGCCATAAATTTTAAGTGTCAATATATAAAAACCGCATATGTGCGGCCAGCGGCGGCTGCGAGTCCAAATTCATAAATTTTCCCATGGGACGAAATGGTAAAATAAAATGCAGCAGCTTTCGCTGTGGTCCACACACACACACACATACACATAAGCCATATATATGAATGGAGTTTTGCTTTATAGTTTCTTTCCATCCCTCTCTCTCTCTCTCTCTTTCTGTGTGTATGTATTTGCTGCCATGTCCGTTGCATGTCGCCGCTGGGGCATTTGGTTAGGAGGCTAGGGGCCAAGCAATGCCATGCCACATGACGCTACCCGATTCTGGGTGGATTTTATTTTATTGCAAATGTAAAGTAAAACAAATAAAACGGTGATAGGCGGGTTTGCTCGACCAGGCAGATACTCTAAGCATAGGGATGGGATACCTTTAAGGCAATCTTGTACGATCGATTGATCGCAATCGATATCATAGCACCTAAAGCGATCATCGGTCGAGGATATGAATTATACTTTATCAAGATCAACGATGGACTTTCATATAGTTTGCTAGTTCGAAAAGGTGAATTGATATTTATAGATATTCTAAATCAGAATCAAGATTGATAAAGTATACCTGAGGCATTTCATACCTTTCAAATAAGCCAACATGCTAGTAATACGTTTCTTTGAAGATCGATATTTATCGATATCATATCAACCCAATTAGCTTGATCTATAATAAAAATGCAGATAGTAATATTTATATATTTATGTATATGTGACACCGCTGGCACCTAGGATACCCTTCAAGTAGTACGGCCGAGACTTTTAAAATGCAGTATAAAAACAGCAGTCAACTTGTTACAGAAAATACCACAAAAAAAAAGGGAGAGCAGAAAAACACGACGACAATTGCCATAAAAAGAAGAAGCAGCTGGACAAAGCTGGTCAGCTTGAAAGCAGAATAGTTGAAGAGCTGGTCAGACAGAAGGCAATCAAGGAAGCGTTGACTCAGTTCGATAGCTGTCAAGTATTGGCCAAATATCGCTAGCATTCTCTATATTTATATATACATATACATAGCGACTGTGTGCAATAAAATTTTGTAAGCCACGCAAACTGCGAATGGTCAACGCTTTACTCCCTTTCTGACTCCCTCCTAGAGAGAAAGAGAGAGAGAGAGAGAGAGAGAGAGAGAGAGAGAGAGAGAGAGAGAAAACAGCAAACGGCAATCGACAATCGCCAATGGAATCAAACACAAGCAATTTTCTAACAAAGTGGTTTATGGAATCACTTGTCCATGTGAAAGTGCCTTCAGTTATCGTTCTCCCTCTCGTTCTCGCTCTCCTTCTCCATCTCCCTCTCTCTGTGAGTGTGTGTGCAGCTGAAATAGCTGAAAATGTGCTTTCAGCTATTTGAGATATATTTTCAATATGATTCTTTAATTAGAGCTTATAGATACGTATGTATAAACGATTTGTGCAATGCCAGCTGCAAAAACTCGCCATGCATTCAATAGATATCGAACATTGAATCATCCTGTCAATGGCTCTTATTAACTCTTATTAGCTATATAAATATATTGCACCACAGTAGATAAAAGCGCGCTATTTGGAGCGGTTTTTGCAAGCGCACAATTTGGCTTTTATGTAGCTCTGCTATGGGCCTTTACTTAACAGCATGTTAACAGAGCTGTTTGTTGAATAACATAGCACAGACTACTGTTTAACTTAAAAGTGAATGAATAAAGTTTTGAGTGTGTAACAGCGAGCTGTTTATTAACAGCCATTTAACATGTCATTTAAATTCAAGCTTACTAAACATTTTTATGTATTTGAATTATCCATAAATGCAGGTAACCCATTAACAGATCAATCGAAGCTAACAGCAATGTTAGCCTTCGACTTAATAGCTGTGAACTTTTTTTTATCAATATCTCTCTCTCTTTTTCTCTCTCTTCGCTTCTCATTCACTTTACTATTTCTTCACAAAACATAAAATGAACCTTTGCTTCGGTATGGTGTTGACAGCAGGCACAGAAATTAAGCAAAAGCGAAACCCCAAAGAAAGTTGCCCTCCATGAAATATAGCTTAAAGTCTATCAAAAATAAATTAATCACCAAGCACCGCAAATTAGGGGCTTCAAAAAAAATAAAATAAATAAAAAAATTAGAGCGAATAAATTAAAGAAAAAATGGAAGCCACTGCTAAAGTCAAGGCTTTTTTCTCGTTTCATTATTAGTCCGTCTGCTGCTTTCAATTGGCTAATCAGCTTATTGAACTTTGGGCCGAGCAAAGCGAGGAGCCGGCGAGGCAAAAAAAAAAAAAAAAGTTTCAATGAAGTGGAGTTGGCTTTCGGGATTTGGGTCTTTAAGCAGTTGCGGCTACAAATTCAATTTGTCGAGCCAAACGAATAAAAAGTGGGCTTAGCGGATGGAAAAGGTGGAAAGGGGTGCGGACCTCTCAGCGAATTGATTAATTACGAAATCAGCTTATTAAGGACCAAAGCAAAACTGGCTAAAAAAAGCTTAATTGGACCTGGACTTGTAAAAAATTTCTGTTAAGTGTTTTTTATAAGGAAATATGTATTTTTGATTTTTTAAAGAGCTTAATCAATCTGCGACTCTCAGCAATTTTTAATCAATCAATGGATTTGATCAATTTAACGGCCGTGCTAATTGAATACTATAATTATATGGTTAATGTATCAATACAAATTTATCAACATCAGTTTATTTGGCCTTTAAATATATTGCATCAATCAAAGTTAATCATAATCAATCAATCATAAGCAGCAGTTTCTTTTACATCAAAAATAAACTCTAAGCTGTAAACTAAAATTTAGCAATTTCTCACATCATCAATCATCATTAGTTGATGAGGTGCTCATTTTCTCACTTATGCTTAGCTTCTATCAAACTGAAATCGTCTTTCAATCATAGTCAATCAGCCCAATATCACCTACCTGAGTTGCTTGGGTGGATAGCAAATCGATAGGTTGCTCCGGTAACATTTGCCCAACTGTTGGCAACACTAATTGCTGTTGCTGTTGTTGCTGTTGCTGCTGCTGCTGCTGCTGTTGTTGCTGTTGCTGGAACTGCTGCTGAAAGTGTTGCTGCTGTTGGTATTCATATTGCTGCTGCATTTGATACTGCAATTGCTGATACTTTAGCTGTTGCTGGCCGCCAGGAATCGCCGGCTGCTGCTGCTGTTGCTGCTGTCCGTGCACCAACAGCAGCTCCAATTGACAGCAACAATAAAACGCAATTGCCAGCAATTGAAATGTGTTGGCAACATGGCATGTTCTGCTGGCTCTGCTGCGTGTTGCTGCTGTTGCCAGCGACAACAACGGCATGTTGCTGCCGTAAGTGTGTGTGCGTGAGCTCGTTGTAACTGCCAAAGTATGCAACAATTTGGCTCGCTGCAAGTTGCTGTTGCTGCTGCTGCTGTTGCTGCTGTTGTAGCTTGTGTCAGCTGCTGCTGTTGCTACTGTATTATTCTTGGCCGTTTCACTTCACTTGCTGCTGATGCTGCTGCTTCTGCTTCTGCTGCCGTGCTGCAACTTTATTCGCAAATAGTCAGACACTGCAAGTAAAAATAAAACAAGAACAACATCAGGAAAATGAAGAAGTAGAAGAGAAGTAGAAGGGAGGTAGCAAAACAGTAGCAAAAGTCACTTCACAGTAAAGTTGGAGCCAAAGTTGTTGTCATTGGCAAGTGGATTGTCACCAGATAAATAAATAAGAAATGAACAAAATAAGAATATGAAAATTAGAAGAAGCTGAAGAAGCTTGTGGCTTCAAGCTCTTTGAACATACACCAATAGAGCATGTTGATGTTGTGGTGAGTTTTGATTATGTCCATTAACATAATGTTAATTTAAACTTAGGATTCATTCATTATTATTCATTATTATCAACAGCTTGAATTAAGTCAAAGTCAGGGGCAGTAGAAATATAAAATCTCATATTTGATAGGTTGCCTTTTGAATGCTCAGCTGTTGAGCTTAATAACATACACTTTAGCGTTATGTTATCATGCTGTTATCTATTAAGAGTAGAGAAATACATTCATTTTTAAAGAGTTTTAAGCTTGAAGACGCTTCAAAATGACATTAAACATATTGAATTAGTACATCTACGTAATTCTATGTCAAACGCCGTTCGAGCAAATTGCTGTCCATGATATTAATTAATTATTGTCTTGTTTCTCGTAGTCAAATTTGAAGCGTACCCTTGAGCACGCCCCCAGGCACTTGAGAGGTTTCTCGTTCGGTTGTTAATCGTAATTATAATTGAAGCCTAAAGCGTGGACATAAGTCGCATAAATTGCTGTACAATTCGTTAATTTTACAATTATCGCACAAATGCAAACAATTAAAAATAAAAAAAGCGCGAGAGAAGGAAAAGCTAAAAGAGATGCGAAACTCGATGTAATGGAAAAGCCGAGTTGCGAAAATAATGAACAAAGATTTTCGCTGAACAAAAGAAAATGCAGAAAAAAAGAAGAGAAAAGAAAAGAAAAGAAAAGAAAAGAAAAGAAAAGAAAATATATATATCTACTAATTATATATATACATATATGTATGCGCGTATGTGTGCGTCTGTAATTTCAATATTTAATGCATAAGCGAATGCAGGCAAAAAGAAAAACCAGGAAAAACGAACGAAAGCGATTTTCACCTGGCAAAATTCAATTTCACTTTTCAATTAAACGAAAAAAAAAAAAACAGAAAACTGAAGCAAAAATCTACAAATTGACCAAAGATGATAAATCTCTCGTGAAGAGAGTCGTAATGACGTTAATGACGATCATTATGATTGACGTGATGTTTGTTTGTTTTTCGTTTGGCTGTTGCGCTTTACAACACTGGTCGAGCGGGGCAACAGGGGGGCGTGGGGAGGGGCGTGACAGAAGCAACGAAATGTAAATAATATGCAATAAAAATGTCTGCGAAAATTGCGCTTTGATGTTGCTGTTGCTGTTGCTGTTGCAACAGATGCCGTGGCGTCGCGTCGCGACGTTAAATCAGTGGAACGTGCAACACGCAGCATTGCTGGCCAAATTGCGGTGGGCGGCCGGGGGCGTGGCAAGTGCTGCATCTGCGGCCAGCAGCAATTATAAAAGCTGGCAACAAAATTAAAAAGAGGGGAAACCCCACAGCTCAAATGAGCACAACGAATATTGAATACCCTACACATAAAGAAGTTCGTATTAGAGATTATTTTGATGAACTGGGTTATAAAATAACATAAAAGCAATTGGTGTATTCGATATTTATATTATATGTATATGATATATATGTGTTCACCCGAGGGCGGTATGGAGAGTTTACGAGTTTACAAAATTGGAAACAATAAAAACTTTTTTTTTCTGATATTTGTCTAGTTTATTTATATGTCCTCAATAAAAGTAAAAAAAGTAACTTTTTACCAAAATGTTATTAAGGCATAGCAACAACAAAGCAAGATATTTTGAAATAAAAAAAAAAAAATAAAAAAATAAAATAAAAAAAAATTATATAATATGTCACATATTTCATGGCCGAATCAACATGCCCTTTACTGCAAAATCAACGCGCAGCAATTAAAGCACATTCAAAGCGCCAAAGCAAAAAGTATAATCAAAAATATTTTGCTTGTGATCATTTTTAATGCGGTTCGTCTCGCTTTACCTTTCGTACCCCACTTGGGCTCAGCCCCCTCTTCTACTATTACCACCTGCTCTAACCCTTCTCCGGTTCCTGCCATATCACCCAAACGTTCTTTACCGATGCATAACAGCAGTCGCCCCTTGCTACGTTTTTTTGAGGCACAATTAAGCAAGGCACAGCTTGATGGCATAGCTTCAAATGAATGACATGGGAATACCCTGTGAAAATATGTATATACATACATACATATCTATAATGTGTTTCTATATTTCCTTGAGGCTTTTCAGATTTTGAAAGAGTAAAGCGTATTCGCTCTTTAGAGTTCAGTGGGATGCTTTTCTAGAATGATTTTGATATCAAATTCATTTTGCTTATATCATTTACTGAGGTAGCAGCCAATTACAGGGTATACACATACCATGGGCGTGCAATTTAAAATGATATATCGAAACCCAATTAAAATGTGCTTCATGGCAGACATTGCAAATGATTTGTATACATATATGTATGTATGTGTATATGTGTATATATGTGTGCATTTATATTTGTAAACATATATGTATGGGCATATAGAAATCTCAGTGCCCGTTGGCAGCAGTTGGCAGCAAATATTTCGTAACTTTTGAATTGTGTTAAAAACATTTAAGTTTTTGTTGCTGTTCATGTTGATGTTGTTCTTCTTGTTGTTGCAATTGGAATTGCAGTTGCAATTCTTGTTGTTGTTGTTGTTCCTGTTGATAAGGATGTGCTGGTTGCAGCCGCTGCTGTTGCGCTTGTTTGATGTCAATGATAGCGCGAATGATACTGTGTGCTCACATACACACACACATATATATATACACACACACACACACATAAGTACACACATCGTTTGCATAAATGGGACACCAGTTTCCGGCATACGCTGCGTATACACACTATGCAATACAAATACCGTAAAAAAAAGGGAAACAAACATATGCATAATATGCATATAAGTAGGCCTGTGTATGTGTGTGAGTATCCCTCTCTCTCTCTGTGTGTGTGTGTGTGTGTGCCACCTTTAAAGCCGATGTGAAGTGCGGTCAAAAGGAGGCAAGCGGAAGGGTTGCGGGACAGAGCGGGACCAGAGGCTAACAGCAGCGACGGCGAGGTGTAAAATGTGAGATTCAGAGACGAGCTGCTGCACGGGACACGGAGGCGAACGGCGAATGGCAAACGGCATCTGGCATATGGCATATGGCATATGGCATGCGGCATGCGTCATGGAGCATAGAGCATGCAGCATCTGGCATGCAGATATGTAGGTTTATACATATGTGCATATATCCAAAATACAGGACAGGCATCTGAGCGCGCTGGCAATCAGAGCAAATCATTCCATTCATGTGGGACTCATAATGTAATCCACGCATAGTCGTAAATTGCTGCAACTCCAACTTAAAGCTGCCGACAGACCAAGCGAACCGCGGATATATTTCCCATTTAAAGTGCATATTATTAAGGTCACAAAGAGGGGAGGGGAGGAAGAGTGGGAGAGAGTAGGAGAGAGACAGAGACAGAGAGAGAGAGAGAGAGAGAAAGAGAGAGAGAGCGAGAGAGCGAGAGTGAGAGACAGAGCGAGATTGAGAGAGAGAGGGAGAGAGAGAGAAAGAGATCCATATAGAGCAAAACATAATTAAAATTTTGAATAAACTATTTTAATGCAGCTCGAAGGATTAGTTGGTATTTATTTAAAATTCTTATCTAATTGCTTATGTCTATAGCCATGGATCAACACTCCAGTAATTTGAACACTAATTTGGCACAACATTATTTAGACTCGATCAATTTGTTAATGAGGATGATAGCAGATTTCATGCTCCAGCTAGAATTGTGAACGAGCTTCTCTATCATCATCCACCCTCAATACACCGAACTACTCCTTAATTTCTGGTATACTTGAAGATTCTAAGAAAATCTTTCCATTTATATTTACCATATATTGGTAATTACCATTTATATCTACCATATATGTCTCCAATCATCTATCTATGGCAAACTTTTAACATAGCACTTTACCATTATGCAGATTACTAACTCGGAATAGCTTTACTTTATGTCCCTTAACACATCCTAACCCATCGAACTATCCACTCGAATGCCACATCTCACATCCTTTCGCCTGACTCATCAGTCAACATGATTGCCAGCTTGAGACTTTGTTTTACTTTTGAGCTCCTCCAGGGCTTATAATAATATACTCAAATTTCTGCTCGAGCTCTTGGTCTCCACTTATTTTATTATTGTACTTTGATTTGGTGCCCCATTCCGCAAAATCGCACTCCTGGCCGCATTTTATGGCCGAGCTCATAAAATTGATAAACAATAACGAGTTGTCAGAGTCCGAGGCGCATCCGGCTTACATTTGGCGGCTCCAGCCGAGCTGCTACTTGTAAGCGTATTACGTATACGTAATGTGTACACACATATATACACTATAATATACATACGTAGATATGTATATTTGAATGTGTGTGGCGGCAGCAGCACTTTATAATGCATTTTAACGGCCCATTGGACTCGGCTGGCCAAGCAACTCAGCATTTTATGGCCGGGCCCAAAACTTCAGCAACTTATATACAAACATACATATACATATATACATATATACATATATATTATATATATGTCTGTTCCGTCTGCAAGTTGCGGCCACAAAAATAAGCGAAAAATTGCAAGCGGAGTGTAAAATTTATGATAAAAACGTGCGACGCCGATAAGAAAGGCGTTTGCTGAGCGGGGGCGTGCGCGTGGGCGTGGCAGCAGCGCATAAAAACTTGAAAGGCGGAAACGACAGCAACAGCAGGAAGTGCATGCCAGCCACGGTCAGACGTCGGCGTGTGGGCGCCAGGGCGCATGGGCGCATGTGCGCACAGGCGCATGGGCGTGGCATCATCTTGTTGCTCGTTAG